AAACACTGACTCTTTATAAAATATAAAAATACCTTAAAAGAAAAATTATCTGCTGTTTTTCAACTGATGATTGTTGTTTTTATTCTATGTTCGAATACAGATGCAGACGATGGCATTCCATGTGTATTGGACATCATGTTTAATAAATGATCAAATATCTTTTTAAAAATAAAGAGCTTTTTGAACATTAAATCATAAGACATGTCACAGTAGAGACACACAATATTAATATACACACCTGGCAATGAGCAGAAAATGTCCTCTCTAATCAGCAGAGAGGACATTTCTCTTTGTCCTCTCTCAAAAAAGTAATTTCAAAGATTTCTACCTTGAGGAAAACACTTATTTATGAACCCCCATTACCCACGGCCTTTTGACACAGATACTGTAAACAGGATTTGAAGAGGAGCACATGTGTTTTAGATTTCATTCTACCTTCTAAGCTTTTGTCCTGACCTGAATAGAGCGAACAGGAAAAACTAAGAGATACAGTTACAGTCTTTTGGTTTCATGAGGACGCATTCCTGCGCCTTTTGTTTTTGAGTCGGCCCATCTGGGATTGTGAATCCTTTACTACCAGTATAAATCTCTTTTAATTCATCTAGCTGTGTGTCAAACCGATTGTTCTTTAAAGCCTGAGAGTCTGAAACCAATAAACACAACATTCTTGGAAAGATGTATTATGTGGATCATGCCGATTGCTTGCAAACGATAAATGTGTTGCTTCTTCTTCACTCATGTAGTGCTGCCAGAGTTTCCGTTAGAACTTTTTTTTTGCCCAGTCAAAATGTCCGTTAAAGTTTAAATCTTCCGGACAAAATGAGAAAAGTGCCGGTCAAAGGTCTTCTTTGTTATGTATTGAGCTTTAAAAGAAATTGATATGATTTGATATTAAACAAACTAATTATAGTAGATTAACTACATTATTCAAAAGTGTACAGTAATTTATAATAACACGGGAATAATAAACGGAGCGCTCTCCTTCTCCTGACAGCCCGTCAGTATCATGCAGCTCGCTGATCCAGTAATGAGTGACCCGACAGTAAAAATAAACATATCTATAACTAGTTTAGGTAGTTTGAGAGGTAATTAAAATAGCTACGTGTGATGTTCTAACCTGAAGTGTGTGTTTTGTTCCGCTCACCGCTGCAGGGGATCATGCAGAGATGTGTGTCGACTCGTCAGCAGCAGCTGATCTCTCTCTCCCGTCAGATTAGACTTCACTCGCGTTTATGTCCATATCGATCAGATCTAGTTCTAGCTAATGATATGACTACCTGCTTATCAAGACACCTAAACAATAAGCGTCGCTATGCAACCGGGTGAGGCCGCAAAGTATAGCGCAGCATTATGCATTTGTTTACATGCCCACCGGAGGCATTACCAACAGATCAACGCACAATCAACCCATACAGGACATCTCTTTCTCCACATTAAATGTTAGACATTAGAATTGACTATTCTTGTCTGTCACATACTCTTCTTGTCTGTCACATACTCTTCTTGTCTGTCACATACTCTTCTTGTCTGTCACATACTCTTCTTGTCTGTCACATACTTTTCTTGTCTGTCACATACTCTTCTTGTCTGTCACATACTCTTCTTGTCTGTCACATACTCTTCTTGTCTGTCACATACTCTTCTTGTCTGTCACATACTCTTCTTGTCTGTCACATACTCTTCTTGTCTGTCACAAAAGTGGCGCAACTGATGCGGTATTGTGCTAAGGGGAAATTATTTTGACCGGACATTTTGACCGGAGAGATTTAGATTTGCCGGTCTTCAGCATATTTTACCGGTCAAAGTCTGGTAATTACCGGCTAACGGAAACTCTGAGTGCTGCAACTTATTATTTTGAATGATGATTGATTTTAAAATTGTCAGAAAATAGTGGAAAATGTCCAAGTTAAAGGTGGTATGATATAAAAAGTATTGTTTTGTCAATCAAAGAAACAAAGACATCCACTTTAATCTGATATAAAACAGGGAAACATCAGGAAATCATATTTGAGAGGCGGAATTTTCGATTAGTTGATTAATTGTTTACACTAATGCAAATTATACTTTATACGTATATTTGAACACTTACTGAAAGGCTTATTTGAAAAGGGAGAGCAGCAGTGACAGTGGGGGAGACAGGGGGAGGTATAAAGAGTTAGAGAGGGGTACGATCACAGCAGTAAGGTCTAATCTTATTAGTGTGATTGACAGGATTAAAGAAACCAAGAGACCCCAGCAGCTGGATATTCACTCACAGACTGAAGGGGGAGAGGAAAGGAAGGGGGCTCAAAGGAAAGCACAAGAAAACCTGCTGAACAAGAGACTTTGTAACATAACAACTCCTGAACAAATAGGGTAAGACGTCTGTAGGTTGACATTTTGATTAGCTTGTGTCTACGTTTTAAAAGAAGGAACGGCAAGAATTCAAATGCATTTTTCCTGCAGAGTCTTCTACAGTTATACAGAAACTCTGAAAAACACAATGTGGACTTCCTACCAAACTCTACACTGAGAGAAGTACAACTGTTACCATGCTTAAGATAACATAACCTGGTTGCATTATATTCAAGAGACTAAATATAACTGCCTGTAAGAGAGTTTATATTTTGGAAGGGCTTTTATTGTCAAATAAAGAAGTGTCTTGTTGTGGTGCATGAAGCGTGCAGTGAAGAGTGAATGGCGGATACCTTCAAAAAGTGTCTTCTTGTCAAGTAACAAGAAAAATGTGAGAAACAACAGAAACATATCTCAAGCTACTTTGATAACAGATTCATTGTTAAGCAATTGTTCATGCAAAAATGTAAAAGAAAGCAGTTTTTTTTGTCCCTCAAATATGAAGAGTTCCTGCTTTTCTCTGTTTTAATCATATTAAAGTAAATATCTTTGAGTTTTTGACTGACAAAACTATTTAAAGACATCAACTGGGACTTTGAGAAACTAAGATGCTTTTATTTACACGTTTCCAGTGCATTATATTTAACAGTGGCGAGCCGTGACTTTTATACCTAGGCCCTCTGACCCCCACCCCTTCCCTCGAAAAAAGAGTTATTACGTCACAGCATATACTTCAGCGGAATATCAAAAACAACGGCCCGGGGTGCAAAACGCATCAATGATAGCGACCCTCTACCACACAAAACAACACCTGTGAATAACCCAATTTGTGTTCTTTGAAGTTGAAAAGGATATTGCATTGTGTTTGTTACTTTCGTTGCAGTTGTATGTCTTAAGTGTCATTTGGCATGCTTTTATTTTGAAGGCGAGTTTACACTGTTGACAGGAAGTTGTTGTTGCTATGGAAACAAGAAAAGTTTCACAGCGGGCGGAACTTGTCATAAAGTCCGCGATAATAAAACCCACCCATTTAGAGGGAAGATATGATTGGTCAATTGTACTGTCATTTGACATTACTCTCTCGTTCAGTTACTATAGCGGGCCCTCTGTGAATTTACAGCAGGACCACCAATCAGCTCCTGTCTTCACAGTAACTCGCAGAGACGAGCTTCTTTCATTTAACCCTTCACATTCAAACAGAAACTGAATAGGCAGATTCGAAGGATTTATTTCTTTGGAAATATTATTTTAAATACAATTAAATCAAGTTATTTTGGTAAAACTAATGAAAAATAATGTTTTTAAATATTATTATTATATTATTTTGTAGAATATCTTAGGCCTAGAGGGCCCTGACGGCTCGCCACTGATATTTAATTGACTTAACATATCTGCCTATAAAAGAGTTTACATATTGGAAGGAAGAAGGGGCTCTTATTGTGAAATAAACAGGAAGTTATAGAAACAAATGACTCTGATCATTGGTTGATCTTTGAAGTCCTTTTTACTGAAAATGTATCAAAAGATTATGTCCTTATCTTTTCAATGTTGAGATTTCCTGATTTTTTTATGCTTTAAGAGATATTTTTAGCTCTTGGATTAACAACAAGAATTTTAAAGATATCAGCATAGACTTTTAGGGACTAAGATGGACCTTTGTTCACTTTTCTCTGATATTTTATAACTATTAATTGATTAATCAACAAAATAATGAAAATAATGGTTAGTTGCAGCAGTAGATCTCGTATTGTTCCACACGAACACTCAGTTGATCTGCACTAAAGACAATAATCTGTTGTATGGAGCAACATAGAGCTTTTTACCTTAATAGCCTCCTGCTGGGTGAATACAACAATACTAGGAGCTGGAGCACGATGAATTATTATTATAATCCTGCAGCTTCTGTTTACTCATGAAAATAACGTCAACTTGAACAAAATGCAGCTGCTTCCGCTGCATTAATCAGGGCTTAAGACCCTCAGGAGTTTATAACTCTGATTCCTTATGGCCACGGGGTCAGAGTGAGGCTGATCGGCTCTGTGTGTGTGTGTGTGTGTGTGTGTGTGTGTGTGTGTGTGTGTGTGTGTGTGTGTGTGTGTGTGTGTGTGTGTGTGTGTGTGTGTGTGTGTGTGTGTGTGTGTGTGTGTGTGTGTGTGTGTGTGAGTGGTGCCCTGACGAGGTCATGTTTGTTGTCTTTTAATGTATATCTGCCCTCAGCATGTACACAGATCAAAGATAAGCTGATTCCAGTTGGTAGCAATGTTGATATCCTTCCTAAGACATGTGGAAACACACACACACACACGCAAACACACACAAACACACACACATTCACAGCAGGGCTTCTGACCTCTTACATTCTTACATCCCCACAAAGCAGAAAACAGTCAAATTCTATCCTTGCAGATAGCAGCACGATATATTAAACTGTCAGCCGATGAAATCAAATGTCTGCGCTTGCTTCACTTAAGTGGACTCATGTTATCAGAATTTAAATAATATCTGGAGTGTAAAACGTATATTAAAACTCAAGTATCTTGTGTTTATCAGAAGTTGCGCAAGACCCACAAAGCAACAGGAGCGAGTGCTACCAGAGGTGAACACAAAGCTTGAGACAAACATTTCCTGCTAAGCTAACGGCGGCGTGGGCAGAGTTTGAGACGTACCTCCAGCCGTGGACCTGGAATCCGGGGCACTGATCCCCGCAGCGCATGCAGGGCTGCCCTCGGTCCGGGTCCTCTTCCTCCTGCTGCAAACAAAACACAAACTCTCTTCAGATCAGCATCAGCATCATTTCCCGTGTGGCTTTTGGCACAAGACAGAGAAAGGTTAAAGCAACAGAGGCAGCAGCACATACAGTGTTTGTCAGACATGGCCGCAGAAACATCTTGTGAGGGTTAGAGAGTGAGCTGTGGTAACACTGGAGCCTCGGGCAGAATGCACTTTAGAGTCAATCCCATCAGCCTTTAGTTCGGCAGTGTGTTTGACGGAGTATGAGCCTTTACATTTCCTATGAATAACTTGCTGACGTCACTTTATGAAAATCTAACATCATCATGCCTCTTTGTGTGTGTGTGTGTGTGTGTGTGTGTGTGTGTGTGTGTGTGTGTGTGTGTGTGTGTGTGTGTGTGTGTGTGTGTGTGTTTTACTAGTAGAGATATCAACTATTGTGTTATGGCCTTTATGTCACTCCTCTATTACCATTTCCAAAAGTGCTGCTTTGATGTACTCCGTGTTATCTAACATGTCAGACTGTTTATGTGGGACTTTCCTGGATAAATAAAGGATAATAGAATTACAATTAAATAAGGAATAAGGACAGTCCTGTTAACTGTGTATAGAGACGAGAACAGTAGGTCATATCCAGAATGTAGCCCTTATAGCTAAACCTGTTTGTTTCAGAAAAACAATCGTACAAATGTCTACTGCCAAAAGTGCTGAGCCAACAACAACTACGATAACTACCTCATATTTCACTTGTGATTCAATTCCTGCAGCCTAGCATGTGTGTGCATGTGTGTGCAGACTACAGACTGCAGACACATGCCTCTTTTTAGAGATGAGAGGAAGGAAGCAGACACAGGATGAGAGCTGCACCCTTTCCCTCTCCATGGAGTCGCTCTGTCTCCACGTTCTGTTTCTCCAACACCTCTCCTGTCTCTTGTGCCAAAAGCGTACTTTTGACAGGGAAAATGTGTCTGTATTATATAAGCTCTTTAACAGCTATGTTCCCCTATCCTAAAGGGGTTCAAGTCAAGTCAACTGTATGTATATAACCCAATATTACAAATCACAACTGCGTGCACCAACTTCTGTAATACAAAATCCTCAGTTTGCACGAGGAAAAACTTCAAAAATGTTGACTTCAAATCGGGAAAAAAATGGAGAAGCTTTGTGATAGTTTGATACATTTTTTCCCCACTCATCATTTTGTGAAGATGCATGTGCCCTATATGGACTTCTGTCTGCAAAAAAAAAGGGAAAACCCTCATATATTCTGCTGTTTTGCTGAGGTTTTCAAAATAAGCTGCATGGACAAAACTGAACTACTCAAAACTATATTTGCAATTCCCAAATGCTTGATTATATGCATAGACGCAGCGACGCTAGCAGAGTTTAACGAGCAGTAATAAAGTGCAGATATGTGATACCGCCCGTTACCTGTGCATACCTGCTCTGCTGTCTTTTGATCTCTCGTTTTCCAACCACACACACACCGTCATAAGGACAAGCAGCCTTCACCACTAACCTCCAAAGCATCAGTATTCACGTCGAGCCTGTTTTTTTTCCCATGCAAAGCTCTTTATGATCATACTCAATGAAGCATTACTGCGATAAGGCTGAGTTTGCTTAGCTTATCTCACTGATATCTGAAGGTTGTAAGTGCTTTACTAATGCACTGACAAGCCAGAGAGACATGGACTGGAAGCTATTAGCAGTAGGGCTGCACAACTCCCAAAAAAAAGACTAATTCCAACTATTTTTGACCGATATTGCATACACTATTACCTTACATTTTAGTGGGATCCCTACCATAACAATGTTTTATTAAGTTGGTAGTTTACTGTTTGTAGGGTAGGATATCTCTACAGCTCGACAATACTTCATTCAGAATGGTATATTGTCACATATTACCCCTAACATATATGATATTGCATATTGTCCTTCCTGCAATTTGAATGTTGCATATAGTCTATATTGCAATTTCAAAAATGTTTGATTCATTGTGCAGCCCTAGCTTGCTTTTTATACTTTTGAGCAATTACATTTGCTATTTTAATTGGAAAAGATTCCATTAAAGTACATGGTTCCTAGGTTGAGATATTAAGCTGTTTACACGCATGGCTGTATCCAGAACTTGTCTTTCCAGAATAGACCAACATGATGACAGTAAACTATAATTGACATGCTGGTATTAAATTCCTCACATCGTGTTGCGTGCATCAGGACCTGCCTTATTAATCACTACTTTGACTCACTATGACAGTTGTAAACAAAGCCAGTTATGAAAGCTGTTATTCTGACGTTTCTGATTGATGTCGACTGAGGAACACACTACAAAATGTCTGTACGTTAACTCTGGTGTATGGCTACACTCCTAAATATCACTGAGAATGAAAAGCCTGTAGCTGCAGGATAAAAACACCTTTGGAAACTGTAGCCGACCTGAAGCGATGACTCAGGAAACGACAGGGTGTTACTGACTTTCCATTCAGTGAAATGACACTTTATATGCTCATGTTTTCATTGTCATGTTCCACACTTTTTCTGCACTCTATCATATTGTATGTTGTGTGTGTGAGGCCTTTGTCAGCGGGTTAGACTGTATATTTAAGGGTCAGTGCACATTTAAAAGCAGACTGTAGAATAATAACCTCGACTGGAAGATTTTAGGGAGTGGGATCAGCACTAAAATATCATTTAAAAACAGATCCACAACTTATGATTCCTTCCTTTTTGGAGAACACATTAAGTCAAAGGTACCAAGTTAGCGGACACCTCAATGACAACCTAAAGGACAATCTTTCAGCCTTGAACATTAGTCGGTTTGACATTTTCTTGAATGTTTCCTTATCATGGTGACAGTGTCCTATAAGTCAAGGCTACACACAGACTGCATGTGTGTTTCCGTCCACAAAACGATAACGCGTCAAGTGTGTGTGTGTCCAACAATGAGGGAGGATGTGCTAGGAGGGGTGTGTAGGAAGTTTCTTCTAAACTGAGCGTGGGGAAAGTAAATAAAACTGTCCCCTAAGTTCACGTCAGCTCACATGCTCACACTTCAGACTTTCCATATCAGCTGCTGTGTGTTTTCACTGTGAGGTTAAATCACGCCGCGCTGCTTGAGTTTGTTTTCTGCTACCGAGTAACCGTGTAACCAGGTAATGGACAAACTGAGAGTCTGCCAGCTTTCTTATCGGACATCAGAACGTAGTTTAGGTCGATAAGTGACTTTATTCGCCTATAGATCATGTACAGGCTTTTCATAATTTAACATAATTGAATATAAGACGAAAAAATGATTGAGAAAAATACATTTATTAGGATCTAATTATTTAAACTCTACAAAAATAATAATAATGATCTCAAATGTAAACAAGTTATACGTAACACACTCCCTGAGATAAAAAGGGTACTTTATAATAGACATTTCTCTTTGTTTTATTTTCATTTAATTCAGATTAATACACAAAATATATAACGTAGCCTAGCTGCTCCTCCTAGACATTTAATCTTTGCAAAAAAGTGAGAAGTCCCAGATTCTATCTTATCCAACAATACCATAGTATGGATTAATGGACTTTAAACTGATGTATTTACTGCTTCCTGGATCTTTTTAAACTTTTAAACTGTTGGAAGTGTTTGGGATGTTAATATTGATTAACCACATGCTAAATGCTAAATGCTAAATGCTAAGTGAGTGGTAGCATTCAGGTGGGAGGGAAACACTTTTATATGAAGCTGACAGAAGACAGTGATTGGGGGTGTCTCTTCTCCTCTCTTCAATGTAGTGGTACAGAAGGGGGTAAACATTAACAGAGGAGGTCAGAGGTCAGGGGCCTTAGATGCACCCCCCCCTCCTCCTCATGCTCTCATAGTTTGTGCATCATGCTTCCTGTTGCCTCAAGTTCAAAATGCTGTTGTGGAGATAGTTGTTAAGACTGCTTTATTTGAATTGTTTAATGTTTCTTTTCAAATGTAATATATAAGATAACAAGATAATGTGACATGACAAAATGACACTTCATTTGTAAGTTATTATTTGAGTCCTATAATAATAATATTACATTTAAACTAAGCAAATGTACTTAAAAAAAAGTGAAGTCCCAGATAATATCTAATCCTAACAGAGACACTAAATGGATGTCTCCTGCTCTGGTCATCTGAATATAATATTGAATTTGTTAACAAAATAACTTCATGTATCTTCAACTAGGTTACGCTGTAACACGATTCCAAACTCACTTTTGGAGAGCTGATGTAATTGAGTGTTAGAGCATTAAATATTCATGGTTTTCATTAATACCTGAGTGCAGTTATTGTACGTGTCAGGTGTTTAAAATACGCCCTTTCACACGGGATATGTTACATATTGCTAGAACTATATTAAAACCCAGGGGTAAGTACAATGACAAGTATTTGAGTATCATTTAGTATCATCAAGTATTTTCATTTTCTTATACTTACTTATACTCCAGTTCTGATGCAAGTATTGCACTTTTTACTCTACTGCATATATTAGAGAGCTTTAGTAACTTTTCATAGTATTAATACAATAACACACAAACAATTGATGTATTATCCTGTCATAAGTGAAGATGATATCAGATGATTCATATAAATAAAGTAATTAAATTAGCTCTATATGTCATTAGCTGCAACATTAATATCATCTACACGTTATTGCACTAATAATTAAAATTGTATTAATACAAAAAAAGAAAGAAAATGACACTGAAACGAGTAACGTTACTTTTGGTACTTTTTGGTACTTGGTAAGTTTATTTTAATTGTAAAATGCATGTACTTGTCTTTTTCCTTAGAAATATTTGAATACAGGACTTTTACTTGCAATAAACAGATTATTTTGTGTGGTATTTGGCCACTACCTATCCGAAAACGTCTTGCACCACTGTTAAATGCTGAAACATTTACAAATAAAGTACTAACGGTACGTCCACATGGCAGCGTCGCGTTGAAGCTTGCCGGTGGGCGTGTCTGGCGTGCGACCAACAACCAATCACATTAATCTCCCGCCCCGGACACACAAGCACGCGGTTTGATTGGCTAGAGCTTGTACTGGCATATGATTTGATTGGCTGACGCTTCCGTTGACGCTTGAAAAGTTGAACTCTTCTCAACTTTTGAAGCGAGCAACGCGAGCAAAGCGAAGCGACGGAACCACAATGCAGTTCGGCAAAGCGTGACGTCAACCCATTCAAAGTGAATGGGAAGCGTCTCCGTTGAAGCACGCAACGCTGCCGTGTGGACGTACCGTAACGCAGCATCCACACGGCAGCGTGCGTTGAAGCTTGCTGGTGGGCGTGTCTGTCGTGCGACCAACAACCAATCACATTAATCTCCCGCCCCGGACACACAAGCACGCGGTTTGATTGGCTAGAGCTTGTACTGGCATATGATTTGATTGTCTGGCGATTCCGTCGACGCTTGAAAGTTGAACTTTTCTCAACTTTCGAAGCGAGCAACGGAGGAAAAGCGACGCGACGGAACCACAATGCAGTTCGGCAAAGCGTGACGTCACCCCATTCAAAGTGAATGGAAAGCGTCTCCGTTGAAGCATGCGACGCTGCCGTGTGGACGTACGTACCGTAACACATGCAACTAAATTCAGAATAGTGTCTTATACACAATCTGGTTTGCTATTAGATTAGTAGTGGATGAAGTGTATAAATGATACAAGTGATAGCTTGGAGTGATAGTCTGCGAGTAGGATTCACAGTCACTGTCTGGACATAATCCAAGTGTGCTGCAGAGCCAGATGTTTGGTGACCTCACATCTGTTCGTCTGCTCCCAAAACAAGCCTTATTTGATCAGTAACCCGACGGTGGAGGCTGTGTTTTGGGCAAAATTCCAGCTGCATGATCTCACAGAGCATCAATTGTTGTTGTAATGAAAGCCTGACAAAGGTATAATCAACAAGTGACTTTGTGAAGTCTCTGTCTTCAAAGCATCTTCTCTGAGTGGTGTTGAATTGATTTTATTTCTCCATGATTCGATATTTTTGCATACAGCTGTTGATGCAACTAAATAATAATAAAATTATGCATTTGTTCATTGTGTATTTTTCTTGATTTATCAATTAGCATAAAATCTCAGACAATGGTGAAAGAATGTGTTTCCCATGTTCTCAAATGTTTTGTTACATTATAACTATTCTTAATATTATCATTATTTTATTATTATTAGTTTATTATTATACTAGGTTATGTTCAGGTTTTTTTTTTTATTCAAAAGCATATATGAACATGATATCTTTTGTATACAAAAAAAGTTGACATCAGGGGTGTCATATATAATGTAATAATAAACAAATACATTAAATAAATACATTAAAATGAGTTTTCTTATTTCACATTACATATTTGTTAAATACACAATTAGTTGTAATTCATAATATACTTAATAATATAATGTTTTAATTATTGGTAAAAAATTCAAAAAATTTGGTTCATTTATTTTTATGAATATTACATTTCCTTAAAAATTAAATTACCTAAAAAAAAAAAATCCATCTGCATTCAGGTTATAGCTCAGGTAGAAAACTATGACGTATGACTCCTCCTGACTGTACCTGGCGCCTTAAGAAATGACTTAAGAAACAAAGAATGTGCTTTCTGTCTCACAATACAATTAGAATAACATAATTTAAAGTAAAAGCAGAAAGATAATTGGGACATTTTTACAGTCAAATAAAACAATGCCCGACACAAAAGCCAGGTGAACGTGAAAGTTCGGCTCGTCCCGTTTTTACAGTTAGTCATTACAAGTTCATTTCAAGTCGAAATATGAAAGCAAAGCAGATAAAAAAGCTTTAAAATAACCCTAAAGTGTGTTTCCTAATAGAGAAAAGGTCGAATGACAGGTAAATGTAGGTGTTTGGTGAGTTTTATAAGATGTAAAAACACTCACCGAGCGGTTAGACCGTCGCTTTTTAGATCCGCGGAGGAACATCACGTCAGTTGGTGCTTAAAACACCGAAAAAAGAAGATTCCTGGTGAGTAAAAAATATATAAAAACACGGTGGAGTTATATTTAAAGTGCCTTCAGTCTGTGTTGCACTACATGATGTTTCCCTGAGGACTGACTGATCCTCTTTCCGCCTTAGTGAACTACTTTAACAACCGACAAGCTACTGCAACTGAAAATAAACTGACTTCCGGTTTTGTTTCAAATTAAAACACTTCCCAAACATGTTGAGGCTGACAAAATAAATAGTTGAGATATGAATAGGAAATTATATTTACCGTTTATGTCATTTATTCATTTATGTATGGTTTTATAATAGTAAAGTGTATTCGAACCATGCTGCGTGGTGATTTTGCTCTTCAATTACAAATATTAATAATAAGCTATATTTGTAAAGCACCTTTCAAAATAAAACACTTCCCAACCATGTCATAACTTTGCTTGAGCAGGCACAAACTGTGTGTTTTGCACAGTGATATCTCTGGAACCCCTTATCCAATTTTGATGGTTGACATCTCATTTGAACAGTCAGGGCAAGTGGAATCACGTGGTGTATTACTGTATATTATAAAAATGTTTGCCATGGAGGCTGTGTTTACTGGAGATGGAATTGCTTTAGTTAGTGTTGTAGCTGTAGCCGTTCCAATGATGTATGGGATGTATTGATTTGATACAAGCAAGTCAGTGGGTGTTTCTCAATGTCGAGGACGCTTCCTTGGTAGGACAAGTCCCTCCGAGTCAGGTCCTTCAGAAGCGATGCAAGAATCCTTCCTAGCCTCTGAAAACGAAGAATGGTGGAACTGGCTAACAGGTGTGTGTCATATGCGAGGCGTCGCCTTAAATGGAGCACGATTTCCGCCAAAGATTTTGGAAATTGGTCCGTGCGCAAAGCATTGTGGGGATTTTAAGACCGCGGAGTCTACACATGTGCAGCCTCGAAATTTCCCGCAACGAAGGACGCCGGGCTCGGTAGATTTCCAAGGATCCTAGACATTGGAACAGTCCTTTGGCGGGACTCGATGACGTAGCATCCTTGAAATAGTGGCTCTGGAGCAGCCTTCCTCGACATTGAGAAACACCCAGTGTTTCATTGTGTACTTTCAACTACAGTATATGGTCCGGACCCACCGGTGGGCCCATCAAGTTCAGCATTCACTGCATTCACTGTGATGAATATAAAATAAGACACTGATGCTGTTTAGTGTTTTCCTCAATGAACAGAGAAAAATAAATATTCAGGGCTCCTCTCCCTCAGGGCTCCTCTCCCTCAGGGCTCCTCTCCCTCAGGGCTCCTCTCCCTCAGGGGCCTCTCCCTCAGGGGCCTCTTCCTGGTCTGTTGACTGTTGGTCAGGCTCATAGTCTGGATTGCTGTTGTCTTCCATTTCTGAGACATCGTCATATCTCTGGTTCAATCTCCTCTTCATCTGGTTCAAAACATTTGTCCCGAGCCTCTCTGACAGAAAATCGCCTAATCGGTCGCCTAATCATTGTGTCACTGAGTCAAATGTGAGCAAGGCACAAATATAACTGCATGAGAGACAGTAAGGGAGGGGCATTTAGCGCGAGAAAGTGAGAGGTTTTTCTACCAGAGTACCAAAAATAAAGGTAGACATAATGCAGATTGGATATATCATAGATTATAAGAAATGGTTTACTGAGTGTGAGCATTAATAATGATGCCGCACGTTAAGGTGGTACAACATGCCATTTTTCTTTAACATATGTGTGTATGCTTGTATGCCATCTTAAAGTAAAATCTTCTCATTATCTATTTTGTATCATCGAAGAAACTTCTGCCAAGGAGCTACAGCTGTAGCAGAAAAGAAAAGAAAAGGACAATACTGTACATGCTACAGCTACTTTCCACCATTGCAAATAAGTTTTATTTAATACAACTTACATTGTTTTGAGGTCAGGATATTTACCATGTTATGTTGTTTATTCATGTCTGTCTTCTTTTATAGTTGGACCCTGCTGCATGGTGATTTTGAACTTAAAATAACATTGACTTAAAGGTAGGGTAGGTAAGAATGGAGAAACCAGCTCGAGTGCGCTAGAATTTGAAAGTACACAACCTTCAGACTTCCTTACAGAGCCGCTCCTCCAACACACACGAACGCGCACATGACCAATGAGGGCACGAGATAAGTTTGTGCACAGATGGAAGGCTGACAGGCAGGTAGGCCATCCAGTTATTTTAGCCGGGCCGGCTCAGATGATTGGTCGTGCTTTTTACAGCGCCACGGCTTCCACAGATGACATTTTTGTATGTATTTATCGTTAAAGCATTTAATGTATTCATTGCTATCGGGATGTTAAGAGCATTCCATGGAATATAACAAAAAGTGTTTCTGAAGTGAATTACCTACCCCACCTTTAAAGTTTTATTTGATTGTTGTATGTTATATATGCACTCTTTATATTGAGGGCTTGATATATGTTAACCTATCATTAATTAATTAATGCATTTATTAGTTAGATGTTCTAAATTAATACATTTCTTAAAGGTAAAGCAAATAATCCCTGCTTTTATTTGGAAGGTGTGTGATGCATACTGACAGTGTCTTGCTAACTTGACCATTTCTCTCCACAAACCTGAGGCTACAAACTGTCCCAAAGTGTGTCCTTTACTTCACCTCCTAGGCTACAACATGAAAGTACAACTACACACACACCCCTCTCCTACTCAAACCCCTCCTTTACTTTCTGATCCTCACCATGTATAGTCTTTATTAATCCATCTGCAGTCTGCATCCACAGTGAGGAAGAATAAATACTGCTAGATAAATATTTAGAGCAGGAATTATGAACCCAGATATGTTTGGGGGAAAGTTATAATCACATCCAGGGGCAGCAACATGGGGACTTAGTTTGAAAACAACAAAGTCAGTATAAACTCAAACAAAGGATTATCCTTCCTCTGAAGTCTCTAAATAACACGGAGCTTGTGTACAGTAGTGTTTTTGCAGCAGTGGAAAGTTGGAAAGACTTTTCCCTAAATGCAATGTAATCTGAACATGAAAAGAGGGGGAGAGCATGCATAGCTGTGTGTGCAAAAGAAACATTCAAATAAGATTAGAGAGCACAGATGCATGGTGAACCAGTGTGTGTGCAACAGTGTTCCTGATTATATCTGAACACCAGCTTCCTGATAAGAGACTGGTGCTTACACCACAGCTTTACTGAGGTTTCTGCTACTTTATTAACTTCATTACATTATTTCTAGCAGATGGGGCTTTACATGTATTCATTTATTTCAGAAAATCATAACACTCTGCTTCCATCTAGTGGTGATCCGATATAAAGCAAGTAAAGACAAATCCTCCCAGCATCACTTACACTTTTATTTAACCTTTGTGTTGTGTTCGAAAGCTGTTACCGTTCATGGTGCTCGCGGGTCAGTTTTGACCCATGATTTATCTCAGTCCAAAACACTCAAAAATAATGACTATCATCCAATATTGTACTACATCATAACTAACTTATAATGCATTCATAACCGTACAATCCTGTAGTCATTTCATTGTATGGCCCCAAAACACATCACACCACAGATAGCTAAGTCAATATATTGACTTAGCTATCTCAATATATTACATTACATTACATGTTACTTGTTAGACGCTTTTATCCAAAGCGACTTACATACTTGACTTAGCTCAATACATTTTCAATATATTGAGATAGTAAATCAATATATTGAGATAGTAAGTCAATATATTGAGATAGCTAAGTCAATATATTGAGATAGCTAAGTCAATATATTGAGATAGTAAGTCAATATATTGAGATAGTAAGTCAATATATTGAGATAGCTAAGTCAATATATTGAGATAGCTAAGTCAATATATTGAGATAGCTAAGTCAATATATTGAGATAGCTAAGTCAATATATTGACTTACAGGATTTTTATTTATTTTTATTTTCCTGTGGCGCAAACAGGCTTCCATACTTTATATTCCCTATAGTGAAGACAGTGGATCATTATGTTATCTGACCATAGGCTAATTTTAGAATACAATTTGAGGGAGGGGAGACCAGGTGCATGTTGCGAAAAAAAGTATTGTTACAGTGGCTGAAGGGGGAGGGGTGTCTAAAGTCAACTATGAATCTTGATTGGGCCAAATTTGACCTCGAGTGACCCACAACAATGCTGCTGGGTCTCCCCAGACCCGAACACCAAATGATACACCTTTTGTTTTTAGAGACCTTCAGACTTGGCAAAAAAATCAGTTTTGTAGTGTTTATATTCGTATACTTCGTTTGCTGAGGCTAGGAAGGATTCTTGCTTCGCTTCTGAATTATTTCTTAATGCAAAACGTTGTTGTTTCTCAAAATGTAAAAATGTTGTTTTTGTTTTTGTCTTGAGTACTTATACATTAAAAAAGTATTATATGTTTTTTGTTTATTTCATTTAATATTATTATAACATTGTTGGTTTCTAACACAGAGGTTAAGCGGTCTTATAAGTTACAATATAAAAGCACAAACACAGATTTTCTTTGTAGTAACAATGGCTTTTATTTCCCAAAGCAAGGCTGCTTTGAATTTAGAAATTACAAACGGCAGACTCTTGTAAAGCATGTTAGAAAAAATAATAATCATAACAAGGCAATGTTTTACTTGGACAAATAACCACCAAAGGGAAGAGGAAACGGTTACAGAGAGTATTAAAACTGTGACATTCACATCAGAAAATTCTACCTATTGTTCCTTTTTCTGTATTTCTCTTTAAAAAGAAAGATTATTTCACTACTGGACTGTAAAAAATGTCAAAGGAAAACTATTTTGCACATTAAAAAAGGAAGAAAATAAAACAACCTGAGCAAAAATCAAAGTGGAGGATGACACTGTGCTTAAAATGAGGAACGTGTTGTTAACGGATACTGAATTAGTGCAGCCAGAATACTGCTAATGAATGACTGTAGGACACTTCAAGAATATAAGAAGAAGAAACTGGTTAATTTGACTTTAAGGCACCGTACACACTCTAAAGAGCAAAGATTAAATAACAGTGTTTGGCAAACCACTGGAAACACTGAATTACGATGTTACACCTAAACTACCCATCCATGTGTAAAACTACTACAGCAGTCCATTATCAGTAGACATGTGTATTAAACAA